GGCCGGACCGAGGACAGCGCTGTTACCGGGCGCGGGGAGGTGGGGATGAGGGGGGGTGTCCGCCCCCAGCCCACCCCACCCCACACGGCGAGGGGCCGTGCCGTGCCCGGGGGTGGCTGGGGAGGTGGGCGAACGCCCGGCCCGCCAGGCGTGTGTCCTTCCCCGCAGGCATCCTCCATCCCCCGGTGCGCATCCCTCCATCCCCGGGAGCGCATCCCTCCATCCCGCGGGAGCGCATCCCTCCATCCCCGGGAGTGCATCCCTCCATCCCCCGGGAGCACATCCCTCCATCCCCGGGTGCACATCCCTCCATCCCGGCCTCCCTCCGTGGGCGCATCCTTCCCTGCAGACCTTCCCCCGTACGAGTGGCACCGCCAGGGTCGCGCCCCCCCTGTTTTGCACCGCGCCCGCCGGCAAACAAGCCCATCCGTGTCTGCCGTTAATATAAGCCAGGATAAAGGGGTGTAGGAAGGAGGAGGGGGGTGCTAACCCAGTTTTACAGATGGCAAATGGGGAGATGAAGGTGCCTGCCGCCTAGGGAATTCGTGCCAGAGGTGGAAAAGAAAGGCACAGCTCTCAAATTTCAGTGCAAAGCAGTTTTCCAGCTATGGAACTCTATTCCCTGTAGTGCTAATGTAAGCTATTGCTTGCTGCAGGGATGTGTCAGGACTGAGAAAGAGGGAACTGGAGCGATGCTGTGGGCAATACACTACACCTTTGCGGGTTCCCACTTTGAATGTGTTGGTTGCACTTACTTTGACGGATCCCCCATTTCTACAGGGATCCTGGGCTCAACAGTCAGTGGGGTTGAGGAATACCCTGCTCTAGAAATACTGTTCAGCAAAAAGGGGATTGTTGCTGGTTGTGGAGCTGCGGAGCATCTGTGCCACATAGTGGAGCAACTCTGATTTTGTCAGGCAGAGGACAGTAGTAGCAAATGCGCCATTAGCCACTGTGTTACAACTTCAGTGCTTTTCAGCAATTTCTTGTTTAACCTCTGCAGGCTCCGCTCTATTTGCTTTGCTTTAATAAAGAAGGACATGGCACTCGCCAAAGGACTTCCAGGATGGCCCAGGACAAGGATACAGAGCAACAGAAGGACCCAAGAAAGGTCTAGGGAGCCCTCAGGATAAAGCTGAAGAGCTGCAGATGGGTTGTGGTTTCCTATTGTACAGGCCAAGATTTTGAATTGTGCTCATCCCTGTGATGATAAATGCACACAGCAATGATGCATCTGCAGTGAGTGGGCAAACTCCACCAATAAACCATATTGACTAATGTGATCTCGTTCATTCATCATCATCTTAGTCTGCAGGGGACGGTTATAAAGCTTGGTAATTAGTTATGTGAAAAATCCTCAGGCCAGGGAGCAGCTCTCTGGTGTCTGAAGAGCCCAGCTCCCTGGCTGATGGGGCTAACCATTAATACTAGCTGCAGCACCAGAGCTGTCAAGCCACGGCTGTGTTCCCTCTTCGTGGAAAACCTTAAGCTGGTAAGTATATACTCCAGGTAAGGTGTGGGCTTCTCGGAGCTTTTGGCAGATGTTAGGGTTTGAGAAAACCTGTAACAATTTATTGTCGTTTAGACAATTATCCTATCACCCGATGAGTGAAAACACAAGGAAACACGAGGGTTGAAATATAAATGGATTTAATAGCATAAGACTAAATAATTAACAGTAATACTAAAGAATCAGTATTGGTCCCGATGCCAATATAAGATATAGAAGAATTATACTCAGCCAATCCTATCAGCAGGAAGCTGTGTGCTCCCAGCAGGGGACAGCAAATGTGGGACACTGGGAGCTCTATGGCTTCAGGAGGAAGGGAAGGGCTCAGGGGTCTGGCACCGGGCAAGAAATTCTCTGGACCACCACCATCAAGGGAGAGAGAGAACTTCTCAGCAAACTTTCTAATTTATGGTGAATGTGACGTTCGTGGTATGAAATAATCCTGTTGGCCAGCCTGAGTCAAGTGCCCAGGCCTCGCTCTCCTCATCCCTGCAGCCGTCAAGGCTCAAAAACACTGAGAGATTGAATCCCACGTAGCCTAGCTGGCTATAAAGTAAATATTTTCATTAATTCAGACACTAGAGTCCTTTAAAAGTGCAGTTTCCCCAAGCATTAAAAGAGACATTAGTCCCGTGTTGCTCAAACCAGGACAGCAGGTTGCTGTTTCGGCCTCCAGTGGGGGTGTATTTTGGCCTTGCTCTTTCCCTGTGGATTTCTAGGAGTCCCATAAGTGGTCTCCCAAATGCAACTGGAAGGAGATTTATTAGGCTATTTTAGAAGAAGCTGGATATGACTTAGGAGACATTAACGTGCACTATCCAGATGTGGTGTCGTATCCCTACCTCATCAAGACTAAAAGAGATTTGGAATTGGGCAGGAGGGGATCTCTGGAGGAGTGAAGAGGATCACTGCTAGTGAGTCATTTTCCCACACACAATTATAAAACCTAATTCTCTGTTGGCTAGAAATGTCTAGAAGTCTACGCACTCAGGCGGAGCAGTACTATAAGGTTACGCTCCTGCTTTAATAAACATTTTCCTTCTTTGCATCGCTGTTAATGATCGCAAGAGATGTAGGGCAGTGGAAAATTGGGACTGCAGATTGTGGGGGTGGAAATATTTGTATCACTTCTTCATGTATGTATTCACTCTTCATCATGTATGTATTAATTACTTTCTGAAATATTTGTATCACTTCAACAAATTCTTCTGTATGCTCTTCATCATGTATGTATTAATTACTTTCTTCCCATCCAACTTAAAAACTGCCTGTACTTGGGTTTTTCCCTGTTCTCCTCCTGAGAGCTACTTCACAACCTGCTACAGCTTATTGGTAAAATGTTATCACTTTCAACTTCAGTTCTTCCTCTCTTTGTTTTATCTTCTCTAGTGAGCAATTTCCCCTCCCTCCTGCTTGGGTTTATGCCTTACAAATGTTTGTAAACTGTTTCCATATGCCCTCAGAGCCAAGGAAAACATACTGTCACTGCAAATCAGTCCCCTCTAGTTGCACAACCAGCTATCACCTTTCTTCTGACCTCCTCAGGCTCTCCCTCTGCCCTGAGCTGTAGTGAGCAATTTCCCCTCCCTCCTGCTTGGGTTTATGCCTTACAAATGTTTGTAAACTGTTTCCATATGCCCTCAGAGCCAAGGAAAACATACTGTCACTGCAAATCAGTCCCCTCTAGTTGCACAACCAGCTATCACCTTTCTTCTGACCTCCTCAGGCTCTCCCTCTGCCCTGAGCTGAGCGGTGGGTTCCTGCCCTGCACGTACCTCCGTGCTGCCTGGCACAGGGTAGCTGTGTGCCCAGGCCTGCTGCCAGTGCATTGCCTTCCTTCTCTCTTGCACCTCCTCACATCCCTTTCTCTAATTTGCTAACTCTCCTAAGGTTTACTCGACACGGTTTGACTCTTTGGAAGCGTTCCCCCCTCTGCCATGGAGAATGATAGCTGGTGAATTATTTCCTCCTTGCTAAACAGCTTTTGTTTTCCAGGTTGAATCCTGTCTCCAGCCAGTTTGCAATTCCTACTCTCTCCTTCTTGGGCAGGCCGTGTTTACAGGGAGGACCCTGACCTAGCTATTGTGTAGCTACCCCAGCAATCAGCCTCCTCAGTCCTGTTTAGGCTCCTCCTGGATCACCACCAGAATATTCCTGGTCTTTTCTGAGCCCTGGGGATAAGGTGACAGCCTTGAGGAGAGGAGAGTAAGGAGTCCTCTGACAGAGTTTTTAGGCTGCTGGTATCTCCCAGGAATGGAGTCCTTCTGTCTCTAGCTGCCGATGGAGCACAGGCACCCAGTGCCTTCCCAAAGCGTGTTCCTTCCCTGCCCAGAGGCAGCTCCTACAACCCTCCTGGACACACCGGAGCCTCTCCAGCACAGCCTTCCCCTGTCAGCTGCATGGTTTAAGAACTAGTTTAAAATTTTGATGAGGTGCTCAGTCTTACTGAGCCCCATCCCCATGACACCCTTGGTCCCTCTGCTGTAAACAGCCCCATGCCACATGCCATCATCCTGTTTACAGTCCTGCAGCCCCTCCACCTGAGGGATTTTGCAGCTGGCTCTGAGCTAATCCTGAAGTCCCATGAGATTTTACATGCTGGGCTTGCCTGATAGCCAAGGTCTGAAATGCAGCACACCGCAATGTCAGTTTAACAACCTTAAAAAAAGCCAAAGTCCCCTGGGAGATTTTGGCGTTGGCTCCTTTCATCCATTCCCATGCTTTGCCTTTTGCTTTTGTCACTCCCTGCTCCTGCTCTGCCCGCAGCCCTGGCACAGCCTGCCTTTCCCTTCCTCCAGGGGCAGCAGGATGTGGGGGTTTGCTTTCCTCCTCCTGCTGCAACAAACTGCTTGGTGGGGAGATGCAGGCAAAGCTTCCCCCTCCCCTGGGTGGGAGAGGTGTTTCTGCAGCCCCCTGCCAGGCTGTTCGAGCAGAATAAAGCTGAGGCACCATCCCCACTGCTCGCAGCCCGGAGGCTCTGCTCGGTGTCATCATCTGTGGCTGGGGACCTCGGCCACTTCACGTGAGTCTCCAGGGAAATGGAGCTTCTGGCTGGGGCAGATGCGCAGAGCAGGGAAGTGGAGAAGAGTCGGGGCAGGAGGAGGTAGCTGGAGACGGCAACATATGGTGAGGGACAATGCAGAGGGCTACTGCCAGAAGCAAAAGGTTTGGCAGCCACAGGGGACAGACTTGCACAACAAATACGACATCCTGCACTAATTTAAAGCCGGGAGTCTAAGGCCAGGATGTGCTGATGGTGAGTTGTAATTAGTGTTCATCTTGCTGGGTGACACTATGGTGCATGCTGTTTGGTGTCTCGTCAAAAATGCCTCAGTAACAAAAGGGTTTCTTTGGTCCCTGGCTGGAAGGATCTCCGGGCAGCTGGTGCTCTGTGGATTAAGGACTGGCAGCAGTGTTGCTGCATGGATGCTTTCTTGGGGTCCCTGCTTTGTGAAAGTTTGGCACACCTGCAGCAGTCTTTGAGTAAACCTATGCAGTTACCAGGGCTGGCAGAGAAAATTTTGAAAATGAGGGGAAAAAACCTTGTCACTATATATTTCCATGGAAACAAGTATAGATGTGAGAGCAGATTTTACTTGCTTTGGGGGATATTCCATTGTCAGTGGTTATTTCTGGAGAAATTAGACACAAAATCCAAGATGTGGCTGCTGAATCTCATGTACTCAGTTCTCCTGGCCAGGCTTGGCTTCTTAGGGGGAGTTCATGGGTCACGAGGGAGTTATGGAGCCCTTGCACAGCTTAATCTTGGAGGATAGATTTGGCCCCAGGGTCATAGAACAAACTTGAGGTGAACAAATACATGAATCACTTGGAAATTAGTAGGAGGAAGTCTTTGTTATATGAGAAGTCAGAGTACACCGTTAGAGTGATCTGTGTAGGACTGCAAACTACACCTCCATGGGCTACCATCCATATACAGATAGTGCAGTGACCCAGAATCATCTCTAATAAGGAGGTGCCATTGAGTGTAAACTCAACAGGAAGATTACATGCTAATGCTCGTTACATTTTCAAGCTGAAGCTGAAATGCAATTATGTTCCATTCATTTACTTGAAAACTGTTTGTTTTGAGCAAATGATCAGTCTTGCATGCTGCTTCAGTTTCCAAGCTGAGCTATTTATTCTGGCACAGCCTGGAAATCGCAACGTGAAGCTGTTGAAGAACAGTGGGAAATATGACATTGCTGGTGACGCTCTTCAGGGGAAGTAAACTGCAAAGTGTAATCAAACAGAAGAAACTTAGATTAAGACTGGAGATTTTGAATGATTTTAGTTTTAAGTAATCTGAGGTGCTTATTAGGTGAATAGTAACAATTTAATTGGAATACTGTGTCCAGTTCTGGGCTCCCCAGTTCAAGAGGGACAGGGAACTACTGGAAAGAGTCCAGTGAAGGGCAACAAAGATGATTCAAGGATTGGAGCATCTCCCTTATGAGGAGAGACTGAGAGAGCTGGGACTCTTCAGTCTGGAGAAGAGAAGGCTGAAGGGAGACCTTATCAATGCCTACAAGTATCTCAAGGGAGGGTTGAAGGAGGAGGGAGCCAGACTGTTTTCAGTGGTTCCCAGTGAGAGGACGAGGGGCAACGGGCACAAGTTGGAACATAACAGGTACCACTCAAATATGAGGAGAAACTTCTTCACGGTGAGGGTGACAGAGCCCTGGAACAGGCTGCCCAGTGAAGTTATGGAGTCCCCTTCTCTGGAGATTTTCAAGACCCGCCTGGATGCAGTCCTGAGTAACATGCTCTGACAAGCTCTAGGCAATCCTGCTTCAGCAGGGGAGTTGGACTAGATGATCTCTATGGTCCCTTCCAACTCTAAAAATTCCATGAAATTCAGTGAAATTTCCTTCTCTTCCTGTAGGATTTCTACCTTGACCATGGCATGGATTTTATCGGTTAGGTATTTTTAGGAGAACTGCAAAAATCTCACATCACTCCTCCTTACCCTGTCAGAAGCCACACAGAAGCACAGTTTTCCAGGGTATAGTACTCAATGTTCCTGTCTAAATATGAGCTGCTTCTCTGTTCCTAGATTGCACTTGGTCTTGCCTGGTGGTGCTGCGCCGAGGAGCTTGTAGATGGAAGAGATTGGCTGTTTGCTTCTGCCCTGCTCTGGGAGTGGAGTGCAGTGGGGAGCACAGGAGGGGTCAAGGTTGGGAGCTGGACCCTTCCTCACTTTGTTAGCTGCACACCCGTGCTTTTGGAGCACAAAGGAGGTATGTGGGGTCTTTGTGTGTGGCCTGTACGTTGTGGCCAAAGGAGGCAGGCGGAGCAGCGCGTTGAGCCCGTGTGATGCCTGCATCCCAAAACCTGGGGGAACTGGAAGGCACATGTGGCACCCGTGGAGGCAGAGCGACCGCAGAGGGACATCACGCACCTTCATGAGGCCCAGGGAGGCCCTCACCCCGCACTGAGCTGCCCCTGCTCTTCTAACACTGCTTAACAATAACCTCAGCTACCGACTACTGCTTTGGCTACGGCCAACCCCCTTATGAATAATTCTGCTTAATTACAGGCAAATGTCTGCAGCTGAAGCCTACTACTCATAATGATAGGATTACATTTAAATTCCCCCCAAATTATATCTGTATCTGCATGTTTAGACTCTGGAGGGGATAAACTCTATTATTATCTACAGCAAGAGCTGGGATTCCGAGTTCCTCAGGCATCAGAGAGCATCCATCCTGAAACCTGAAGGCCGTACCAGTTCCAGTTCAGTTCAGATCCCATCATCTGAATGCCATGCCATCAAAACCTCCCCGGGAAGGGAAACTGTTACACCTGAGGAGCAAGAGACTGCAGCTGGAGACAATGCCAAATAGATTTTTCTTTTCCATTGGGCTGATAACTGGGAATAAAGCCAGCTGGAAGACTGCTGGAAGGAAATCTTCCCAACTCTGATCATATTTGCAATCAGTTTTTATGCCAGATGTTGCCTCAGAAAATATGAAAGTCAGCAGCCAGTAGTTTTAATATGCAGCTTTGCAGCTTGAAAAGGGATGAGTTTTTATAGAGAGGAAAGGAAATAAAGATTTACTGCTTCCTTGAGGTGCACAGAGTCACTATATGTAGCCAAACAATGTAATATAATGTGGAAGAAACAGATGGGAATCTAAGAAGTTAGCAAGTGTCCTGTAACAAAACCCTACAGTAATGGAAATATTTTTAGGGCTACCCTTTATTTTAAAGAAGAATAAGTCAAGTGATACCTGACTTTCTGATAATGAAAGGAGAAGCCAAGAGTAAATCAGGCTGCTTTTCACAGGAGAACCTGGGAAATGAAGTTCTCATTGGAAAAACAGAATGCTTGAGGACAGTGGGTGTTAGACTGGAAGAGGTTTTGTTTCTTTGCTTTGTCACTTTTTTACCTAAATAAATGCTGTGACTGGGTACCTTTGGGCCTCCTTCTTCCATCTGTGAAGAGGAGTAATAGCACCTTCCCTAAGTGGTGTGTAGCTGATGCAATAACAAAGCCATATATTAAATATATTAGATAAATTTGGCAGTGGGGGGATCTCAAGATGGTTGGAAGGTAATTTAAATTAATCACAGGATTTCAAAATGAAGGAGATCTTGTCCTTCAGCCTCTTTGAAACAGAATCCCTCAGACAAGCCAAATGGGATCCCCTATACCTCTTTATTGTAGCACATAAGCAATCATACAGCTACTATATCATTGAACAGATCCTAATGGGAGTAGGATGGATATTTTCCTGTAAAGTTTTGTAGAACTGGTGTTTCATATATATGGGTATATAAGTCAGATTCTGCAGTTTCTCTGTTTACACCAACAGTTTGGCTGGACTCAGTAATTTGGGGTTTGTTATATCTTTTTTTTTTCCCAGCTTTTTAGCACAGCGTAGGGATGGGATTCATGGGATGGTGCTGGAGAAGCTGGTACAGGTCCATGGCACTGTAGGACACCATGGTGAGATACCTGTGCAGGATGGCTGCTGTACAGTGGCCCAGGCGAGTGATTCTGCCAGGGTCTGGGTGCACCCCTCTTGAAGAAGGGGTGGGTGACAATTGCAGGGGGTGTCTGAGCTACCCATTTGAACCAAATGCCAATGTGATCTTCAGGTTTACTGGGCTAAATGTCTCTGGTAGAGATGAGGGAGTACACCACTGGTTTGTGAGGAACTGAGGAGACCCTGTCCAGAATGCTGCTTGTTATTCTGGTGTTAAGGAATGCTGCAGGTAGGACTTTGGTGTTAAGAGAGATTAAATGAAGTTTGAGACAGTGGAGCTAGTTAGGACGATCAGCAAACCAGTAAGCTAGCCTTAGGACAGGACACTGAAAGGGCTTTGATTTTTGAGCCTGTAAAATGAAATCTGAGGCAGGATGTGGCAGATCTTCAAAAATATGCAAGGGAGCAGGCAACTTGCTCAGCCAGGGCCTTCAATGTGTGCTGCATTTTGCTCTGCTAACCCAGAGGTATGTCGCAGTCAGCCTCAGAAGTGCAGGCTCTGAAGAAGCCACTCCCGTGAAAACCAGGGTGCGTTAGTTGTTGACTCCAACATGAGCAAGACCTGCAGGAAACTCCCTTTTCCTTGCTCTGAACACTTAGTCCTTAAGTGAAGCGGAATTAATACCATTGTGCTGTGTGGCTTGAATCTAGCACAACTGGAGCAGAAGTCAATTTGCTGTATTTGAAAGAAAATTAATTAAGGCCTCGTTAGTTTCCCTCAGAGAGAAAAGCTCTGGGTAGTTTCCAGGAGGTGATTTTTTTTTTTTCTTTTTTTTTTTTTCCCCTCTTTCTGAGCTCCTTTGGTACAGGCCTGTATGTACAGAGCAAACGTTGTACAGCTTCAAGCTCCAAATCCCTGTAAGCTCCCAGGCTGGAGCTGGGTCTCCTGGCTCCCGTGGTGGTGTGACAGCCCCAGTGGCTGCTCCACTACTGTGCACTGCCTTTCTAGTCACAGAAAGGGAAATTATCTCAGTACAGGCAGTATTGGTGGTGCTCCGAGAAGGGAAATGTCATGGCAGAGATGATGCTTGTAGCCTGCTTTAGCCTCACCTGTCTTTTATCAGCAGCTATGAACTGAGCGAAGAGAGGGCTGAAGGGACTTGGAGATGAGGAGCCCAGCATCGTCCCCTCTGCTCTTGGGGTGCTTCAGCAAGGTAGCAAGGTGGATGGTGTGCCAAGTTTTCTGGTTTACTGTTGTTTTGCCCATGTTGCTTCAGGAGTCCTTTGGAGGTGGGCTTTTCTATTTGCATTTACTCTGAATATTAATAAATGACTAATACCCTGCTAAACATGAAAAATGTGAGTGGGTTCCAGTGTATGATCCTGGAAGTGCAATAAGGGGCGGACAGAACAGGAGATGTGTGCAGGAAGGAACAGGAGAAAACAAAGCAAAACAGGAGAGGTAAACCATACAGGAGGTTAATGGGTTGTGGGGATTTCAGGAGCACTTAAAAACTGATTTACTGCTGCAGAAATCCCACTTGGAACAAATTACCAACGAATAGGTCACATAGGTGTCATGAGCAAGAAGGCGAAGGAGCAAGAGAGTGTGTGGCTGTCACCTACACCCAAGTGGAAGATGCCATTTGATAGAATCATGCCTGGCATGCTGCCAGCTCCGAGGGACAAAAGGCACTTTCGGTGTGATGCCAGCTACCTGCTTTCCCAATGGGATCTGGACATAGGGGATTCATGGAAGCAGCCAAAGGTGAGTAGCTCTCCTGCATCTTTGTCATAAGAGTTTTGGAGCTGTCTTGTTAAGGAGAAAAGGGAGCTCTATGAAGCTGTGTTGAGTTTGTGTGGCAATGTTTTGGTGGTGGTGGGGGGGAAGCTACAGAAGTGGCTTCTGTGAGAAGCTGCTGGAAGCTTCTTCCATGTCTGATAGAGCCAACACCGGCCAGTTCCAAGAGGGACCCACTGGTGGCCAAGGCCGAACTCATCAACAATGGTAGTAAGTAGCTTCTCTGTGAGGATGTATATAAGAATGGGATAAAAAACCCAAACAAAATCATACAATAGCAATTGCAGCCAGAATGAGGAGTGAGAATATGTGAGAGAAACAACTCTGCAGACACCCAGGTCTGTGAAGAAAGAGGGGCAGGAGGTGCTCCAGGTGCTGGAGCAGAGATTCCCCTGCAGCCCATGGTGAAGACCATGCTGAGGCAGGCTGTCCCCCAGCAGCCATCGAGGTTAACAGTGGAGCAGTGGAGCAGATGTCCACCTGCAGCCCTTGGCATACCCCATGCTGGAGCAGGTGGATGCCCAAAGGAGACTGTGACCCCATGTGAAGCTAACGCTGGAGCAGGGTCCTGGCAGGACCTGTGGCCCTGTGGAGAGAGGCACCCACGCTGGAGCAGATTTGCTGGCAGGACTTGTGACCCCATGGAAAGGTCCCGTGCTGGAACAGTCTGTTCCTGAAGGACTGCATGCCATGGAAGGGACCCACGCTGGAGCAGTTAGTGAAGAACTGCAGCCCGTGGGAAGGGCTTATGTTGGAGAAGTTAACAGAAGACTGTCTCCCATGGGAGGGACTCCACGCTCAAGCAGGGGAAGAGTGTGAGGAGTCCTCCCTCCAAGGAAGAAGGAGTGGCAGAAACAACATGTGATGAACTGACCACAACCTCCATCCCCTGTCCCTCTGTGCCGCTCCAGGGAGGAGTTAGAGAAAAATCAGGAATGAAGTTAAGCCCGGTAAGAAGGGATGAGTTGGGGGCAGGTGTTTTAAGATTTGAGGTTTGTTTCTTATTACCCTACTCTGATTTGATTGGTAATAAATTAAACTCATTTCCCTGAGTCAAGTCTGTTTTGCCCATGGTAATAGTTGGTGAATGATCTCTCCCTGCCTTTATCTCAACCCATGAGCCTTTCATTATATTTTCTTCCCCCTGTCCAGTTGAGGAGGGGAGTGATAGAGTGGCTTTAGTGGGCACCTGATGTCCAGCCAGGGTCAACCCACCACAGAAACCAAAAGGTCTTTGGTGACTGAGCTGGGAGCTGAAGGGTCCCTGTGGCAGCTTGTTGGAGTGAAGCTGTGTCAGTCTCTTGGCTTTGGGCAGCTTTGAGGAGGACAGAGCAAATGGCGGGGGGCAGGTACAGCACTCCCTCCTTGTCTGGGGGGGAACACAGCATCGGGGGGGAGGACAGAACTAATGGCAGGGGGCAGGTACAGCACTCCCTCCTTGTCTGGCGGGGAACACAGCATCAGGGAGGAGGACATCACACAGGATGGTAACGTTACCGGGGCTCCT